GGATTTGTTAATACATTTATCGATCTTCACGAATGACGTCAGTCTCGATTATAAAACAAACAACATAGTATTTTGGAAACCTAAACTCGTATTTTTGTAGTCGATTTTAAAACAGATACCCTACTATATTTTATTGAGTTTTATTAACCCTTAGCAACCGAATAATTTGTATTTCGTATCCTATACGCATCGAATAAGATTTTTTTATTCTATTAACGAAACGTCGGTAATAATAAATTAGCGCGATTAAATTAGTACAATCAATTTTAATTACTAATCTTTATTTGTTGTTGTCAAATCTTACCTTTACTTACATTTTAACTTTATGCATTAAACTTTATTTATATTTAAGTAAAGATCGGATTTCAGATCTCACACAAAGAAAATTCCTAGAGTTTAAATAAATAAGGCATTAAGAACTAAACCAGCTGCCCAGTAGTCGATCTTCCGTATTCTTTATATTTTATCCTTGATTTTTATCGAGCATTCTCTTGAGCTCTTGTGAAGTGAATGTGAATTGATTTGTTTTAGTTATTGATCGCAAAGAAACATTACATTTATTGCAATTGGTTATAAAACTATCTGTACTTTTAGATCTTTCTTGAAAACCCTAAAACATGGTGAGTAAAGATGGAGACCCTTTTTCTTGGTAACCAGATATTCCATATTATTCACAGGAATGACATTGCATATGAATTTTGATTTTGCATGGAGGATAGATGTAGAACGTCTACGTTCAACAACATCCACTAACCATCGGATGGAGTGTGTGCTAGTTTGTTTTTATTTATGTTTATATTATATATTAAAAATATTGGAATTTAATTGTGAATAGCTCTTTAGATACACCTTTATTTTCACTCAAGAAATACTTTCAACCGTCTGCAAAATGTAACTCGTATACAAAAACAAGTTTAGACAGTATTTATTTCATAGCATGTTTGTACAAAAACAAGTTTTAACGGTATGTATTTAATAATATTATGTTTAACGGGAAAACTAGCTGTACCCGGCCGGTCATACGTTGCTGTGGCTCAAATTTTTTTAAAAGTAGGTACTAGCGATCCACCCCGGCTTAGCACGTGTGATATTTGGATCTCAATAACAGCGCCACCTACCGGGTCTAGTTGTAAGTCTATAACATCCAGGGACAAAACACACACAAATAAAAACATGCGTGAGTTTCGTGGAATACTCGGTTGGAACGAAGTACCTTTCGTAGTATATTATTATTGATAAACGTATACGTATTATATTATTGATTAACAAATAATTGTTTTAAAATTAAGCGTCATTTAAAATAAAATAATATTTCTTTCATGGCAAGATAAGAAAAGTGTGATGGATATGGATATTATTCCATCTCGCTTCCTTAATAGCCGCCAAGGCCGTTTACACTACGTCGTGACGGAAAAATATTACACTTTTTCTCGCTTAGCCCCCATCCGCCAAACCCGTACTGTCCGGATAAGGAACTTCGTTCCAAAAATTTTACTAAAATCGGTCCAGCGGCTTTTAGTTTTCATGAGACTAACGGACAGCAATTGATTTTATATCTACACACACACACACACACACACACACACACACACACACACACACACACATATGCGAATGCATCGTTGTTAAAATTTCAAAGCAAAAGGTAAAGAAATTTCGGATATTTAACATTTAAACAAAGAAATATTTACATATTTATTTAAATCAACGCCTTTTCAAATACTTGAACATCTTTAATGTTAGCATTCATTCATACCACCAGCACCTATCTGAAATAAAAGAAAAACTTTCATTCATCATATCTCTCAATTAATCCTTAAAAACATTGAAATACGTCATAAAGCGACCTTATATCTTGATTATTTAAATTTAAAATTACAATATATCGAAGGTGAAACAATGGCATTCAAATTAATTGAAAGGTCAGATATTATGCGATACCTGTATGTATCTTTTATGATGACGAAGTAGATAAAGTGCTAAGATAATTTAAGAAAGACTTTCTGTTAGTTACTCAACTACTAAATCGCATTTTGTGTTGATGTGTGTCTATAAAATAACTTCTCGATGAATAAGGCATCTAAATTTTTGACTATAATTAATTCTTGTCGATAAGTAAAGAGCTTTCACGTAGATACTGAGGCACTCATAATACCCTACTCAAATCTGAACGAAAATATAAATTTTGGGTGATTATAAGACTTTAAGCGTTTGTAGTACCTTACGAGCTTACAAAACAGCTGATTACCTTGAAACACCAGAACCGATTTTAATAAAATATATCTAAAAACCACCGCTAGAAAACCTAATTTTAAATAAAAATAACCAGTTCACCCGTTTAAGAGCTACGGTGCCACAGGCACACACACACATAGCGGTCAAACTTAAAACACCCCTCTTTTTGCTTCGGGGTTAATAAAATATTAGGGTGCTATAATAATTTACAGCTATGAAAACTAATAATTTGCTATTAACATACCTTGTCTAGGACTATATAAACCTATAGTAATAATTTATATGGTCTACTCGTCGCTAAACTAAGTAAATAATAAGTTTGGAACCAATGAGGGCATCCACGAATTTTTCTGCCACCAGGGTCACACCACTTAAAAGTGAGGTATAAAATTTGACAGATTTCATAGCGGCGAAGTTAATTTGTTCGAATAATGTCAAATTTAATATTTATTTATGTACTATTGGCTATGTTTTTTTTTATAGGAGAGGGGGCAAACGAGCATGCGGCTCACCTGATGGTAAGTGACTACCGCCGCCCATGAACAACCGCAACACCAGGGGAATTGCAGATGCGTTGCCGGCCTTTTAAAAAGGAGTAGGCTCTTTTCTTGAAGGTCCCTAAGTCGTATCGGTCCGGAAAAATCGCTGGTGGTAAACTATTCCACAAGGAAGTTGTGCGAGGAAGAAAACATCTTCTAAATCGCACAGTGGTGGACCGCCAATCATCCAGATGGTGTGGATGGTATCGGGAGTTCTGCCGCGATGTGCGTTCGTGAAATTTGGCGGCTGGGATTAATCCGAACAATTCCTCAGAGCACTCCCCATGGTAAATGCGAAAGAAAATGCTAAGAGAATATTTTTTATATTATTAAGATTAAAAGTAATTAAACAAAACCACAGGTATTCATAAAAGTAGAAAAATTGAAAAAAGTCATAAATGTGGAAAAAATTAAAGAGCAAACCACTGACGCATTGTTTTGTGTATTAATATAATATTCTAGAAACTGATAAACTTTTATTAAAAACTAACTACTCAATTAAATGACATTGTGTAACACAAAAATTTACCTCAATGTCAACTAGCGATATCTGGTGATCGGAATATCATTAGCATAAAATAATAATATTATTGCATTCTTAGGCTTTTTATGTTTATTTTTTATTGTTGCAGACCTTTATCAAAACCAGTATATCTTAGTCTATATTCTTTATTGAGCTTATTTCAAAGAGGTTGATAATATTTTAAGTTAATTCGTAATCCAATTGGTTCAATAGAGGCGAGTAAAAATATCCACTACCCCATATATTCCGTGGATGTCGTAAATAGCAGCAAAGGAAAACAAACCAGGTAGAGTCACGCTGCAGCTATGTTATGGTTGTAACATGAATGGGTTGGCTCGACTAGCAAAGTCAATCATCGTGAAATAGCAGCGTAATGTAGCTGTGTTTGGTGAGTGAAGAGAACCGGATACCTTTTTTACTGGGAATCCATGTTTGTCTTCAGGTGTGACAATGCATTGTGCATTTTTATTCTTAATCGAGGATTATTATAGATGTCTATGTGCCACAGCATCCACTTACCATCAAGGTGACCTTGATAATAGTTTGTCACCGTTATTATATAAAAACGATTAAGCAATTTGATATGAATAAAATAAATAGAGCAATGTCTTGATTTGTCTTTATAATTCGTATTGTCTATTTTTATTAATTTATCCCGATGAAATGTCATCAAATTAAACCTCCTCAAATTAGAATAATGAAGATAAACACTTTTTACGTACCAACGTGTTGTGAGAAAACAATTTTTAAGTTTGCTTTTGAAAAAAAATTGTACAACTTATAATTTGCCGACTGTTGAACTGTGTTAAATAACGTTTTTTAAATGGAGAGAAATATAATTTTTTATCATGCCGGTTAAGCACAACATACTCATTTAAATGAGGCATAGGTATTTGAAATATTATTTCATTTTTAACTTTAACATATAGTAAATAAGATTATTCTAAGTATGCAATATTTTTTGTTATTTCGACAATTATGGCAAATTATTAGTCTTTGAATTTTAAGATAAGTTTAATTGGTATCTATCTAGCATGTTCAAATTTTACGACTTATATTTTATGGCACATTAATGACCGAGGCTATAAACTGAACACTTACTCACGTTTCATATAATGTTGCTGTATTTTTTCCATGATCTGCCACTTTCACCACAATACTTCGATTTCTTGTTCGCTGTTGACTTGAATGCTTAGAAAACTAGAAGATCGCGCTTCCGACATACTTATAGTAGCATGTGAGATAACCGTAAAAGGCTGTGACAATTTTACTATAATTATCACGTCAGGTTATAAAACCGGAACATCTGTGATAATCTTTTCTTAATTGTTGGTTGACAGTATTTTTTCATAGTGACGAAGTTAAGATATGTCAAAATAAACCGTATTTTTAAGATGACTTTTAGATTTGAAATACCTATTTGTTTGCAATATTTTTCAAAAGAGAAAATCTGAAATTATTTTCACATTTATTTGTTATACTAACGAGTTTGCTATTGAATAACGTCAACAATATTTTCACGTGCAATTTAATATCGGACATTAAAAGCGAGAATTATAATAACGGACTACGTGCTCGCGCGATATACTTTCAAATACGTTTAACAGTGACCTCTAAAATCAGTGTGTATAACGAAGTAGTGGTTGACACAAAAACTTACTAAACGAAATTAAAAAAAAAAACGAGATAGTTATAGAAATTACCTTTGTTGTACTCTGCATTTGTAAGAACGTTGCTATGCCGGCACGGACGCGGTTCTTAACACCGCGTATTGTTCCCTTGGAACTTTTTATTGTTGAAGGAGGGTCTTCATTTTTATAATCCTTCACACCAGCAAAATATTCCAGTTCTAATGTTTCATCACAGACACTGTTATTTACACTAGCACTTTTTTCAGACACATCGTCAAATTGCTTCTCGTTCAGATGGAAATCATAAAATTTGTCTGTATCGAAATAGTGACTACTATAGCATATACGCTCTTGTTTCATTTTATCCTGTTTCTTCCTTTCTTCGTAGGTACTCTCACTTATCAAAGGCGTCTTCTTCTCCAAATTTACTGGCAATGACTCCGCACTACTATTATTCTTCGCTTCACTATTCAACTGTGATACTAATCGGAACGACGTTAGCTGTGCGCTTTCTTTTGATACATTAGCATTTTCATTAATATTCTGGCTCACTTCCTCGTGCGCTTGGTCGCTCGAATCACTTTCAGTTTCGACTGTATTGAGTTTCGTCGAACGGTCTATAATATCTTGTAGAAGACCTTGTGGTAGAAAGCTACTTCCTTTGTTGTTTACTTTAGACATAGTAAACGGCGGCATAATTGGAGCCACAGGTGGCTCTGAAGACTGTTTCTTTTCTTTTTTACTTATATCATCACTGTGAATTTCGTCAGTTAGCACGCTTCCATTAAACTCGCTACTGTTAAGTGAATCACACGACAAGTTGGAATCGTTATCTTCAAAATCTAGTTCGCCAATGTTTCTAGTTGAGCTTATCATTGTAACAGATACAGTTTTTTTCGAAGACAGCTTCGAAGTCTTCTTTTTGGGAAGCGGCGGCGGCGTTCCGTCTAGATCGCTACATGTCCCAGAATCGAGTGTATCGCTCGGCGAGCATTGACCGCTTGACATAACCATGTTAGTTGAATTTACGTAGGAATTGCAATATATATAAGGTGCCTTATCCATCTTAAACTGTTCTTCATTATCCAGGATCTTCGGTTGATTTTCATCTACATTTAGTCTCACTAAACTATTATTTTTCTTCGTGTCACAAATTTTAAAGGTTTCAAAATCAACATCGCTTTTAAGATGTACACTCGAAATTTTTGGCGCTTTAGGTTTTTCAGCGTCCGTGTTTATTCTAATCGTGACCACGTGTGGACCGTTGGCGGTGAGAGCGTCTGAGCTAGGCGTGCTCGCGGGTCGATCTGCTTGGGTCGCCGCTACAAATACCGTTGCAGATGGAGTCTTCGAATTAAGGACAAGAGAGTGCATCGAACTTAGAGAGTCCATGTTAGATCGGCCGTCGTTCGCACTGTATCCGTTCACTCTGAGATCTTCACTCGTTATCTGTGTAAAAGTTGTTGACCCTCTCTGTTTCACTTTTTGGGGCAGAGAGGGAATGTATTCGAGATTGGGGCATGTCGTCACCTCTTCCATCATGTTTCTTTGGTTAATAAATCGGCATAATTAGTTAACGGTGCTTCCGCTTACGATGCAAGACGCGTCCGTTGCTTCAGATAGTGATTGATTTATAAGGCATAATAGTTCCGGTCACCGTTCGAGTCTAGGTCAATAATACGCTCTGTAAGCACGTTTGCTTCTTCACAATGTTTACCTGCAAAGAAAATATTTATAAATTAGAAATATTTATTTTCTATGTTTCAATAACACATAAAAAGAAAGTAAGATAGAATTTCACTAAAGTATCAACATAAATAACTTATTTTATTGTTAGGGAATATAGAAAGCAGAAGGCAAGCGAATTGTAAAGGACCACCAGATGGAGTGAAGACCTGGTAAAATATGTAGGAAGTTGATGGATGCAGGTGGCTAGGACCTTCCTTGTGTTATCCTTTGAGGGAGACCTATATTTAGCAATGGAATTGAGATTTACTATAAGAAAATATTATAACAGTTCTTTAATGTTTAGCAAATATTCTTGACACACCTACAGAAAGAGTAAAAATGCAGAAAAGGAGTGCTATCACCAAGGAAAAGTTTAAGTTATGTTTTGTTATGGCAGGATAGGTACAGTAGTAATTAAAAACATTAATTTAATGTAAATACACACGTTTACATAATTAAAAATGTATTGGTAAAATGAAAAAAAAATGGTATTATCTGAAGAATGATGAAACTGCTAATTGTAATACGTGTGAATTGACAAACATGATTTATTTAATGTACCCAATTTGTATGCAATTAATTTGTTAGTCACGTAATAACCTAGTATGTTGTTACTTAATAAATTGCCTTTTTACTACAATTTCAATAGTTAGCTTAAAATTACATATAATTTATGAAGTAACGTTATGCGGGGCATAACATAACCCGCATGTTGGTATGAAAACATGTATACAGGAAAGTCGTGCAAGAATATTGAGTTCCAAATTTTACATAGGAATCTGAAACACTTTATTGGAGAAATATAGTTCAGATGTAAAAAATACGCCTTTATACAATTGGAAATTATACATTTGCAACATATTGTAATAAATTGTTAACACGTAATTTACCACACGATCATATATTATGTTTACTTAGGTTTTCTAAATCTCGCTTAGTGTCTAACATTAAACGAATTCAAAAAACGAGAAGGTTCTGTATTCGTCACAAATGTTTTTATGTTATGTTCATCTATTTCTCGAAAACGTCTGAACGTTGATTCGGGGTGGTCTCATTTAAATTGAAAGAGAAAATTCCCCGGTCGAGCCGACCCATTCGTGCTACAACTATACTATTAATATAGCTGCAGCATGGCTCTACCACGTATAAAATGTATTTGTAGTAGGATTAATAAGGAAATATTGTCTTAATTATAGGTGAATGAGCCGTTGTAGGTCAGGGGCTAAGCGCTCGCTGTAAATTTTACAGTACGCGAGCAACCCGGCTTCGATCGCCGTCGGCACCAATGAAATTGTTAATTGCAATTTTAAGTGCTGATTTACAATGTGCTCGGCGGCGAAGGAAAACATCGTGAGGAAATCGTCGTTTGAGAAAGAAGAAAAAAATATTTGGAAGAATGTGAAGTTCGCCAACACGTATTGGAGCAGCGTGGCGGACATTTCCTTACCCTAAACCGCTCTCAGAAATAAGAAGAGGCCAGTACCCAGCAGTGGGATGTACATGTACACACAGGTACATGTACATGTACACACATAACTTTACATTTTACTTTTACGGTGTTAAACATGTAAAAGAAATAATGTAATAATAATTAGGGGGGATGAAGTTTTTAATATAACTATAGACAACATTCAAGTTATAAAATATGTTTTTAATAATCGAGTTATATAATATGTTTACAATAATATTGAAATTGTGATATTCCTTAGTCCACTCAAAAGGGCAAAGAAGTAAACTTTTGGTAAAAAGTAAAAACCGACTTCAAAAACTAATAATTATAACTTTTACCAAAAAGTAAAAACCGACTTCAACTTTTTTGTTTTTTTGTTTGTTTTAAAAACGTTACCCCCACACTAGGATTTTCTCCTGTATCGTGGAGGTAGTTTACAAAAATAGATTGCACGACGACAAACATCCAGACCCGGAACAATTATTTGTAGGCCATACAAATACTTGTTCCGAGCGGGAATCGAACACGCGGCGCCCAGCGCAATAACTCATTGCTAAGCCACTGCGCCATGGAGCCGTCATTTCTTTTTTCAACAAATTTCTAAAAAATATATTATTTATTTGCTACCCTTAGGGGTGAAGTTTTTTCTCTACATTTATATGGGAACACCCTTGTAGTATAACTTATTTATTAGAAAAAGAATCATCGAAATTGGTACACAATCTGTGAAGATATATAACATAACAAAAACGTAACTCGAATTGAAAACCTCTTCCTTTTTGAAGTCGGTTAAATAGAAAATAAATTATTCTCACATAATAGCTTCTAAAGTTGGGGCTTCGATTCTTCGATACACTATGCCTATGTCTCTGCACCGATCTTAAATTGTTAATTGGGTATTTGAATATTTTTATATTCTTTTTTCTCTTTCAGTTTATATTTTTTATTAAAAATTTAATTTTGGTTAAATTTAAATAATCGTTATATAGGTTGTTAGGTACCTAGCTTTATATAAATGTCTATTTACTATAAACACTTCGTTAAAATCTAATTAGACATCCGTAAAATACATTCACATTTTAAAAATACAATATTCACTCGTACCATCAGAGATAAAGCTTGAACGAAAATAGTTTCATTCATGTTATTTTCCGGAAACATGAATTAAAATAATGCTTTAGACAGCAATTCAATGATCTCTTTGATTAAGCTTATATGCATATTTTATATCCTGTTACTTCTCACTACGTTATTTACATATTTATGGATATAAAAGTGAAAGAGAAAGTAACGAAATTTTATTTTATGCTGCTTTTTAGAATGGACGTCGATTTATACGCATTGTTATGGAAGAAAGAAAAAAATGCATCAAAATACTCGTTTGAATGCGTTAAAATGCCGTGAAGAGGTGGAGTAAGAGAATCCAGTACCCCATATCATCCCGTGGGTGTCTTAAGTGGTGACAGAGACAAAAAAATTCCGTAGGTACGTGGCGGCGTAAAGGAGTCAACTTTATCCAAAGTATATGTGTGTCGTAAGAAGGTTTGCAGCTATAGGTATAAGTAGTATAGTTGTAGCACCAATGGGTCGGCTCGACCGGGAAGGACCACGCTCTTACAGAATACCAGCGTGAAATAGCATCTTAACGCTGCTGTGTTTCGTACGGTGAGTGTAGAGAACCGGAGACCCTTTTTACTGGAAATGAGGCATTCCATCTTAGTCTTCACGGGTGACAACGCCTCTGCATTTTGATTCGTAATCGAGGATAGATGTAGATGTCTATGGGCCACAGCAACCACTTACCATCAGGTGGACTGTGTGGTCGTTTGTCACCCTTAACCTATAAAAAAAATAACAGGGGCCTAAAACAGGAGATGGGCACTGCCCATCATGGGCAGCAGCATCTTTTTGATAACAGCCCAAAATAATTAAAAAAACTACAGTTGCCAACCTGCCGGCTAAGCGTGATAACAATGACAAATATCCCTCTTATGAATGGGGTCTATGTACAGCAGTGGGGTTTGATAGGTTGTGATGGTGACTCGTTTAAAACCTATGCTGCATACGTGTGTCAGAACAGAAGAAATTTTGACTTTAATTCAAGATTTTCTGGTGAAAATAAAACTACATTCAAAGTGATACGGCTAATTTGCATTTTTATGCAAAATCGAGTTCGTACACAAAAACTGCCAACATCAATTAGATAAATTAACAGAAATTATCTGCTTCGTTAATGTTTGACTGATAATAGAATGACTTAATATAATGAATGATGATGAACAACAAGCAGTGGGTGTTGCGATTGATGGCATACGGATTTTAGACGTGATATTTTACTCAGCTAATATATCCATATATGGCTATTCATTATTTTTATTTTTGTAACTGGACAATACAAGCCGAGAGTACTGAGTTGAAATTGTTAATACAGTTACGCTGTATTTCAGAGGATAAGCACTCGTACCTTAAAATTTTATGTATGCAAGCAATCCGTGTTCAATCCTCGCCGACACCACTGAAATGATTGATTTCAAATTCAGGTGTTGATTTACTACGTGTTCGGCGGCGATATTTTTTTTAAATAATTAAAGTGATTAAGCTTTGTCCCGTGTCCTTTTTGTAAGTGGTTATTGCAGAAAAATTATTTTAATGGGAGACTTAAACGCTAAAATAGGAAAAAGAAAACCCATGGAAAACATAATTATGGGGCCATACTGCTTTGGAACGAGAAACGTAATAGGAGATAAATTACAACAAACTCACTATAATTAACACAATATTTAAGAAAAAAATTAAAACTTTGTGGACCTGGACTACACCAGACAAGCATCATAAAAACCAAATCGATTATATTTTGAGCAACTCCCCAAAACTTTTCACAAACATAGAAATTTTAAATAATAATACATTTCCAAGCGACCACAGACTACTGCGAGGCACAGTACAACTGAAAAAACTTAAAAAAAGTAGAGCAACTTTTAGTGAAACTCGAGCTGGTCTATCGTGCGACAAGAGTCAACAAGCATACCTCAAGACTTTAGAGGAAAAAATGCAACAAATTGAATGGGAAAGTTGCGACGACATAGAGTCCTTCAATCTTAAAGTAGAGATAGCCTTAAAACAAAGCCTAAATGCTGCCACCTCAAAGGAAATAAGCAAAAATATTCTAACCATTGAAACTAAACAACAACTTAAAAAACGTATTGCACTCCAATCAAAACCATGTAAAAACAAAGAGGAGAAAAAAGAACTTACAGCTCTCTATAAAATTACAAATAAAATGTTAAAAAAAATACGAAAACTACAGAATGGAAATTATCGAAAAGAACCTGACCGCCACCGGAAGCCAAAAGAAAGCCTATAA